ACAAGAGGATTCAAAAATGGATTAGGAAAGCTGCATAGCAGTAATATAAAGGTAATGTAATAAATTATTTTGTTTATCTTAAGAGAAAAGAGAAAGAGCCATACCACATTATATTAGATAGGTTTATTTCAAAGACAGGTGATAGAATATTTGACAAGGTTAGTGTACCAACAAAAATAAATTTCAGATGAGTGCCCCTGAATGTCAGAAAGGTAGTGTAGAATTGTTTTCTTTCCTTTGGTAATAACTCTATGAGGTCGTCCAGGTGAAATTAATTAAACAACAGCTTCAATTTTTTATCTCAGGCTCTTGGCCACTTTGTAGTTGAGTGATGGTCAGACAATCATTCTTCCAGACATAATAATCCCACAGAATGAGAATAGTTGTAAATGCTTATTATATATGTATGTGTTTAATTATGGATCCCAATTCCAATACCTCTGCAGATGGAATCACTAAAACAGGGAACAAGAGAGCTGCTGGCTCCTGCTGGGGATGTAGGCCCTAGGAGTGGGGAGTCAATAATGCTGCCAGGGCATCCTTTGAGGCAGGCCGATGCACATTTAAATGATAGCTCTGTTCTCAGGGAATGGGGCCATGGAAAAGTCTGCAACAGCCAATGAAATTCCATCCCACTTTAAAGGACACTGCCATCTGCATCTGTTACCTGGATGAGTGACTCTGGATTTGGGAAGATGTGTGTCTTCCCTGGGGAATTGTCTACTGGCAGATGTTACTAAGTTACAGAGAAAAGGCAACCAGAAATGCAGTGAGCTTGAGGGATTTTTTAAAATAACATTTCCATAGAAAATCAGGGATTTTAAAATATGAATTAGTTTTCTTTTTTTTTTTCATTGTACTTTAGATTCTGGTGTACATGTGCAGATCATGCAAGATTGTTGTCTAAGTACATTCATGGCAAGGTGGTTTGCTGCCTCCATCTCCTCATCACCTATACCTGACATTTTTCCATACATTATCCCTTCCCACCCTCCCTCACACTATCCAACCCCTAGCCACCACCAATGGACCCCAGTGTGTGGTACTCCCCTGTGTTCATGTGTTCTCATTGTTAAACACCTGCCTATGAATGAGAACATGCAGTGTTTGATTTTCTGTTCTTGTGTCAGTTTGCTGAGAATGATAGTTTCCAGGTTCATTCATGTCCCTACAAAGGACATGAATGCATCATATTTTATGGCTGCATAATATACCATGGCGTACCTGTGCCACATTGTCTTTCTCCAGTCTATCACTGATGGGCATTTGCGTTGGTTCCAGGTCTTTACTAATGTAAACAATGCCATGATGAACATGCATGTGTATGTGTCTTTATAATACAACAATTTTAGTCCTCTGGGTATATACCCAGTAATGGGATTGCTGGGTCAAATGGAATTTCTATTTCTAGGTCCTTGAGGAATTGCCACATTGTCTTTCACAATGGTTGGACTAATCTACACTCCCATCAACAGTGTAAAAGTGCTCCCGTTTCTCCACATCCTCTCCAGCATCAGTTTTCTACTGCTCGAGGAAATAAGAGAAGACTCACACAGATGGAAAAACATTCCATGCTCATGGTTAGGAAGAATCAATATCATGAAAATGGCCATACTCCCTGAAGTAATTTATAGATTTAATGCTATCTCCATCAAACTACCGATGATCTTCTTCGCAGAACTGGAAAAAAAACACTTTAAACTTCATATGGAACCAAAAAATAGCCCACATGCCCAAGATAATCCTAAGCAAAAAGAACAAAGCTGGTGGCATCATGCTGCCAGACTTCAAGCTATACCACAAGGCAGCAGTAATCAAAAGAGCATGGTACTGGTACCAAAACAGAGACATAGACCAATGGAACAGAACAGAGGCCTCCGGAGCAACACTGCACATCTATAGCCATCTAATTTTTGACCAACCTGACAAAAACAAGCAATGGGGAAAGGATCCCCGTTTAATAAATGGTGTTGGGAAAACTGGCTAGCAAAGTGCAGAAAGCAGAAACTGGACCCCTTCCTGACACCTTACAATAAAATTAACACCAGATGGATTAAGGACTTAAATATAAGACCTAACAGCACAAAAACCCTAGAAGAAAACCTAGGCAAAACCATCCAGGGCATAGGCACAGCAAGCACTTCATGAATTAGTTTTCTTATTATATTTATAATAATCAGAACAATACATTAATGCTATTACTGAGTTAGATATTGCTACATATGTAAACTTATTTAAAACAATATTTTATGATACTTAAATGGTTTTAAAAGATTAGAACATATATTTAGTTTGACAGTTGTTTCATGCCATGGAAGTGAATCTTTACACAGTGATCTGAAAAGCTATCATTCCAACAAATTCAGTGTTAGATCAGCATTACAAATAAGTTTAAGATATTAACACTGATCTTTCATAGATTTATCTACTTACACACCTTTAACTATTGAGACTTTGACCAAGAGTCTCAATCATGTTCTCCAGAAATGGATATCTGCCTGCTTCCAACCACTCTTTATCTAAAACCATTGCATGTAATATAACCTACCTTTTTTCTTTTTTGCTTTCTTTTTGTGCTCTATATTATGCAAAGTTAGCGTGCATGAAATATGATGTAAAATTATGAAACAGGATATATATACAACTCAGTGGCTTCAAACTTCTTGAATAATTTATTTCTGTATTATAGAGAGAGATTTCTAAAGTATGACATATGAAAATGAGAGATGGAAAATTGTGTGACATTATGTTACAGAAATTACAGAGCTTATCAATTCCAGGAATGACTCTAAACCTGAGTAAAACAGGACCAACAATTATATGATAATAAACATCAAGTTTGTGAATTACTTAAATTTTAAATATAAAACATTGAAATGATAAGAGAACAATAATTCGTTACTTTTTTTTGTAAGCATTGCTCCAATGGCAAATAGCACCCAAGAATGATAAATTAAATTTCAAGACAGATTGAGAAATACTTGCTTGCATCACAAATTAAAAAGTATGTTACCTTGGTAGGAAATAATTTTGCAAATCAGCAAAACAATGAACATTCCTATAACAAAATATAGACATTATATTAATAAGATATACCTAAAGAAGAATGTACGAAAACAACTTTAAATATAATTATTCAAATAAAGTAAAATAAACTATAAAGATAGACTTTTATTCTACTAAAGTACCAGATATTAAAACAAACAAACAAAGCCTATAATACACAATGTTGGATACTGTTTAGGTAAAGGCTCATGGTCACGTACAGGCATTAAAATAGGAATATCAATACAGTACAAATACACAAAAGATGAACTTGGCATATTTTTATATGAACAATTTTAATGACATATGGTAAAAGAAAAAATACTTAAATGTGGAAAAAGTCCTAATGCTAAGGATCTTCTCATTTTAATGTTACTCACTGTAGCAAAGAATTGCAAATGCTTTAATCAAGTACGGGGTAATTTGATAAATAAATGGTGGTGTTTCACAATAAAAAAATTTAAATAGTTTAGCAGATTGTTGCTTTTAACTTGAATAATTTAATTTATTTTCAGTTAAAAATTTTTTGCCCAGATTATGGTAATTTTTACCTATAAATACATGATACTGAATGCTACCTGTGTTTTTTATTACTAGTAGACTTATGTTGCTTTTAAATGTTTAATTCTGTATCCTACATTTTGTAACAACATGGTTTTCTTTTAAAGTAGAGGAATATTGAGTTCTAAACATTAAAAAAGCTTTTAGTGTAAATTATCTTTATAAATTCTTTAAAATGTATTATATAATTATTGGTTGTATTTCTATTTAAATTCAAATGGTGCCAGAGAAATTACTTTTCAAATAGTATAATGAAAGAAACATTACACTTTATATTTAATTTTTAAAACTATAGGCATTTGATAATCATTAAATGACATGGCAAATGGCTAATATATAAAAATTTACTGCACTAATTACAATCAGTGTACACATATAACAATCACAAAGAAACGTGTGCTAGCATATTTTTTAAATCATAAATTGAAGGAGATGAGTCTACCACAATTGTTGGCCACCTGGCTAGGAAAATTTTCCTGGCATACCTGATTATGGATATTAAATATCCTTCACAGCTAGGTGTCAAATGTGACACTGGCTTTCAGTGTGCATATAGGAGAAAAAAATAAAGCAGTACCTGTTTAAATAATAATTATAAATAATAAAATACATTAATGAGTGTTGAAATAAACCAAATAGATTGTGTAAAATCAATATATTTTTTGAATAGTAATCATATTTTTCCATTAATAAAAAGTATTTTATTTACATTCAAACTTTTAGAATGAATAACATAGTAAGCTTGACATGTATTTAATTAACAGAATACATTTTTGACCCATTTTATGTTTCTCAAATTTTCTATAGGAAATTATGCAAAATAGTGTTTTTTAAATGAATCAAATAAAAAGAATAACTTAAGTGCTCATTTAAGGAAAAACACTACATTGCTTGCTAAAACCTTGAAAATATTTTTTTAATATACATTTGATCTACTTGTCATGATTAAAACTATTTCAAATAAAGTATATCATTGTGTATAAAATTTCATATTTCAAATAAAATATTTTATATATTCATTCATAATAAAATATTTATGTTTTAGAAAATATCAAAAATTTTTCCCTTGGCTATTCACCCAGATATAATGTAAACATGTCATTCTTTGTCTGATTACTTGGTGCCTATAAATCCCAATTTGGCCAGGAGAATTCCCATCAAACATGTTTTTGAATAGTTTAAACCATATGATTTAGCATTTATTCCTTTTGTTTTTTATTTTTAAATTAAGTCTTAGTATTAATATTTGCATTAAAATAAACTAGTAAGGGTTTGGTAGAACTCCACTTTGTGAAGCTACTGCTTTCTATGGTTTTTCTAGTAGTTACACTTGAACATTTAGTTATATCTTCAAGATTATCTATGACCATAATTCTCTATATAACCCATTCCAGAGCAATGTTACCAACACCTCCCTTTGAAGTGTGGCCTATTTGGTTGCTTGCTGGCAAGAAAAAGTGTGGACAAAAGAAAAGAGAAAATAGATTGGTAAGTTTTTTTCCAACAAATATGTTGCAGATTAAGCAATATAAATAATTTATTCAAAGCATAAATATTCATTAGTATATTTACTTTCAAAACCTGTTGAATTTTAAAAGCTTTGCTGGTTGCTGACAAATTATATACTCAACACAGCCTATTGCCATCACCATATAGGCATGAATTTCTTAATGTATTCAACTTTTGTGTTAATAACAAAAAGTGCTCTTAAATCTCTGAATACTCTTCTACCAATAAATATCAAAATTTTGTCAATTCTTCCTATTATCAAGCTGTTAAAATTATTTTGTTATATGTAATTAAAACTAAATATAGCTTATTCTAATTCTTCTAATTTACTCTTTTATGCTTTTAAAACATAACAGTTTTTCATAACTTTTTATGTTATTCAGCAAATACACTAAAGGCTTTGTGTTCCCTATTCTTTTGTATGATGGATGAATTTGTACTCAGCTTTCCAGCTACTTTTTTAAAAGCCTAAAACAGGGCCAGAGTTAGGACATTTTATTCCCTCATTTGAATTGTTATGTAATTTTTAAATTAAATTTGCTTTCATTAATTTCTCTTTTCACCATTTGTTGCAAATGAACAGTGAGGTGATTAAAAGATAGGTAGCAAGAACTAGAGGGGGAGAAACAGATTCGGATAAAAATAAGTGGGTCTTTTAATATTTTTTCAAGGGACTTTGTTCTAAACATTATATTTCTTTTAGAGCTAAATGATAGAAAAATTTAGCAAAACAACTCAAAGAACTTTCTGTGATTTTTTAACTGGCTTTAGAGAGTGAATTCAGACTATGAAGAATGAAAGACAAGGACAAAATATAACATTCAAACAAGAAATTGAGGCCCAGGAATATCTGGAATTGATGATAACCTAATCTGTGTGGGATGTCTGCCTAATTTATTTCTCAGAACCATCTAGGATATTTAAAACAAAGTGACAAAACATTATTATGAGTGGCGAAGGAAGAAGAGATGAAAAATGAATAGCAACATTTTGCAAGAATTTAAGCTTTTGGAGTGACTTCAAGTAAAGCAAAATTAGCAAACTATTATCATAATTAGGCCTAGTTTAAACAAAAGACATACCCATGGCAAGGTCTGCATCTTAGTAAAATGAATGTTAGTAAGATATTACACTTCCTATTATTTTTGTTACTAAGTTACTATTGCTGTCTTTCCTCATTTTGGAAAAGAGCTGCAAGTGGAACATCTGCCTTTGATTAAATTGGTGTACCCGTATTTCTGTACGAATCCCAATCATAATTAAAGGTTGCTATTCCTATCTTATGAAAAGATGTTTTGAAAATTACATCTCATTTAGAAAAATTACTTTCTATTTTATATAATAGTTATACTTTTTTGTTTCTGAAAAATAAAATGAAATAATATGACCCATTGTGTAAAGGTTAAAGTAGTTGTTCTGAATACTCTTTAGCTCATGACACCTTTTTCGGTGATAGTTGCCTTTGTTAATTCAGCTAATAATTGAGTATTCTAGACAGCTTTCATTTGCTTTTCTTTCTGAAAGTTTATCAGAAGTACAATATTGTCTAAGAGCTCAGTTCTTTGATTTATGTCTGATAGTGCATGGAAGGACTCAGCTAAGTTTAAAAGAAAATGAGAGGAGGGAAAAGCCTTTCACTTTGCTTTATTACACATTTAGTTCACATAAAATGTAAGTATGGTCACAGCTAAACCCTTTTCTTCTTAATCCTCAAACTTGGGCATTTTCTATCATCCTGTCCTTTACCCTCTTCTACACCTTTAGTTTACAATGTTTAGTAATGTTCTAATAGAGTCTGATTGATTGCCACACATTTAAAACAAATGTTTTGCAATATTCACCTCAGATTCTCACTGGCATTTGAAACTCAGAATATATAACAGGAACTACATATTCAACATTTTTTTTCTTACATTTGCCATTTCAGACATCAACTCCACTACCCTCCTAGGCACTCAGCTAGGAACTCAAGAGTCATTCTTATAAACCAGACTTTCATTGTCTCTAGGCTTCCTTTAGTTAAGAAGCTCATCAATTTTGGCTGAACTATTGTAATAACCACCTAACTATTCTCATCTAGACAACAAATTAGATAATCTCTTTACCCAGATTAAAGTCCTTTAAGGACACATTATTTTATATGTGTGTGTGTGTGTGTGTGTGTGTGTGTGTGTGTGTGTGTACTACTAGAGGATCTTAGTTTATGTTTCAATAACATAAAGCTCAAGCATCAACTTTCCAGAAAATTATTCCTGAGTTATTTCTAAAACGATTCACTACCCCAATAAAAATGACCTACATTACTATTATTGTGCTAAATATGTATTTCTCCAATTGCATTTCTCCTCTGATCTGTAGAGTACTGTTACATATCTCCCCTATCAGAATATGAAGACGAATCTAGTACATGTGACTGTGAAATCAGGTGCCAGTAACTAAGCATCATTTATATCTCAAGCTACAATATAGGCTCAAATTCACTAATCAATTTAAACCAAAGTGTGTGCATCAGATGGCTTCTTTGGTAATATCAAGGAGAATCAATTTCTATGACTGGAAATCAGAGTTGAAGACAATAGACTGGACTTCATTGTAAGAATAGCAGACAGCAGAGAAAGGTAACTTTAGGTCCAGATGCAAAGTCAGGTCCTGTTAAGGAGATTGGAACTTTGAGATTTAGGTTGGGGATGTCTGTGCATTTGCACTTAAGAACCTTGAATTCTCATATTCCTCTTAAATTCTGGATTTTTGGAAGTGGATCATTATCCCTGGTTGAAAAATAGAGACATTCTTTGTTTGACAAATATAGTGATAACACAAAGAAAACAGCTTTTTAACAAGACAACGCTTTCCTTCTTTAGGATCTGTCCCAAATTCCTCTTCTGTCCAGCAGATCCATTACCAGACTGAGAAAGTGGGAGGCGTGCTAAGGGAAAAGAGGCATTATACACAAAATGACTTCCACACCTCTAAATATTAATATTTATTAGTTATAATAACCAATAAACTGATGGAATTGCTCTAGAGGTTTAAAAAGGCAACATTCCAAATTAAATGAAGTGGAGATGTAAGAACTTCCATCATGAACTCAGAGGAAATAATCCAAAAGATTAAAGAATTGAGTGGGGTAGATTGGGCTTACTATAGAAGACAGTAAAAAATTATAAGATGACCACATTCCTCAAAGCAGCTAGGAGGCTACTCTATTTAACAATGCAGTACAGAATGTAGTATTGAAAAAAAATCAGTTAGGACTGACTTCTGTAAGTCTAGAGTGATGGTAGGAAACGTTATTAGAGAACTAGGCCTCTATTAGTAAAGACATTATCACTTAAATTTCATATAAAATACTGCTTTAATTGATTGGTCAGAAAGGTAAAAATGTTATGGATGGAAGATTACTACAGGAACTTAGAAATGACTCAGGGCAAGACAGGCATTACATAACATACTGAATATGTGTGCATATAAATTCAGTAATATATGAACAAAAGGCTGAGAGCACCCACCCAAATATTATGGAAAGTCATAATCACTTGCTTAATTTCCAAACCTGATCACGTTATCAGACAGAAACTGTGACTGGAAGAGAACACAGGTGATTATGCAGAAAGACACTCATATTCCAGAAAATCTACAAAGTAGTGATTCCCTTGGTTTTTCTCTTAAGAGACCTACTATTATTTGCCTACTTAACCATACAAGAGGTAAACTGGGATATCCAAATCTTTCAAGGGCTGTATGGACACAGTGAGTAAATTTACACTGGTACGAAATAACTATGTCCTGGACCAGGCCTAGGTTTCAAAAACATGGCCAGTGATAATGTCACTGGTTCTAAAGTATAAATTTGTAATAAACATACTTATCAGTTGACAGAGCAATTCAACTCAGTTTCCTTGACCTGGGCTAGTTATCAGAGGAAAGGTGAATCAGAAGCCCTAAAATTACTCAAATTCCTTCATCTTTAGTCAAGAAAATCCAAAGCAATATTGCCTCCCAGCAAAAGTGGCAGAAATTATTGCCGCCCTCTAAAACTTGAAAGATGTAATTTGTGACTGTGATATTTCTACTTAATTCAAGAGTCTGGCCTCTGGGTTGTGGGGAGAAATCACATGGATAATGGCAGAGGCCAGGATTACCACAAATTTAACCAATTAGTATCCCTAATTGTAGTTGCCATGCCAGTAGTAGTATTCTTTACCATATGGGATAACATTACTTGTGACTCTTGAGCTGGTGAATGTATTCTTTTCTTTATGGATTGGAGAAATATTAGAAGCAATTCCCATTTACTTAATATATACTCATTCTCTTTTTCTAGTGCTATGTAACTCCTCTGCCCTATTTTCTAATATATTCCGAAGGAATTCAGATGTTCTAGACATTTTGAAGAACATCACATTCGTCTACCCATATTGATAACATAATATTGTGTTTGATGAGTGAGAAATGGCAAATGTTCTGAATGCCTTGGTAACACATATGTGCTCTAGAGCATGCAAGGTAACCGTTATAACAACTTAGGGGCTTGCTACATCAGTAAAGTTCTAGGGTCCAATTGTCTAGGACATGCTAGGATATTACACTCCAAACTGAAAGGCAAGTCACTGTGTCTTATGCTTCTGAAAGCTAAGAAAATAAAAACAAAAATTGGAAGGCACTTTCGGTTTTGATACCAGCATGTTTCTTATTGTGGAATACTGCTATAACCCATTTGTTGTTGTGTAAGGCTGCTAGATTTGAATGAGGCCTACAATAGGAGAAGGGTTTGTTAACAACTCTAAATTGTGATATAAAAGGATCCACTGTTTGGGTTCTATAAGATCCCATGGCACTTGAGCCATCTGTGGTAGAAAAATATGTCATGTAGAATACCAAGTGTTTGCTAAGATTGACAGATACTGGTAAAACAGTCATAGTGTGCACAAATGCAAGGGCTCTGGAATACAGAAAGGCCATCTGCAGCAGAAAACTAGAAAATATTTCCACATCGACTCTTGGCATACTCCTGTGACCTACTGGAAAGAGCTTCTGGCCATGGGACAGCAAGTGGTCATATGTCCTAAACTTTTCATTATGAGGTAGATACTGGCAGATCCACAGTCATAAATGTGGGTGTGCAGCAATCCACCCCAAAATGGAAGTGAGCTCAAGCATACCCAGAGAGGACAAGTAAGCTGCATAAACATGGGCCCTAAACCTCATGTCACCTTCTAATGCTACACCAGTGCCTCTTCCTCAATGGATAGCTATGGTCCCATGGCCTCTCTATGAGGAGCTGATGAAGGAAGAAAACACCTGAACTTGGTTCATAAAGGGGTCAGCTTGTTATGCCAGTATTAGCTACATATTGGCTGTTTTTGTTTTTTTACAATAACTCTTCTTAAAAATGGCCCTGAATGAGAGCAGTGAAGGAAATTCTCTCAATATGCAGACTAGGATGGGTTAAGTGGAGAGAGAAAAGCCTAAGAAATGGTACACACTATTAGGCAATAGGGATTGGCTTAGTTTGGTGGGTCAGATTATTGGAAAAAGTGATACTGCAATACTGATGACAAGGAGACCTGGGGAAGAGGCATGTGGATGTACCTATGGACACAGGAACCAGGTATGAAGATCTTTGTATCACAAATCAGTACCCAAAAGAAGCATCACTAAACAAGTAAGTAGAGAACTGATTATCCAGCCAATACATTTCTGCCAGTCTATGTTCTAAGCTAACCCATAGCACAGGGTTCTCCAAACTAAGTGCTGACTACTTAAGCTACAGAATAAATGACCTGCCAACAGTGGAGACCAAAACTGAGTTCCCAATATGATACCCTCACCAAATAGAACAACCAGCCTCTTAGATGGAAGCTTATTAGATCAGATCCCTTTCACACTGAACAAGCAATATTTCATGTTGATTGAGATTGTCAAATATTCTTGGATGAATTTGCGGCCTTTATTGCCTGCAGAGCCCACAGAGGCATTATCCAAGGGCTTCTAGATTATTTAATCTTCCAACATGGCGTGCCATGTAACATCTCACACCAAAGAAGCTGCTTGCCAGCGAAGAATATGTAGTGAGCACGTGACAATGGAATCAATTTGCCCCATCCATATGCTGCATTATAAGTTTCTTTCTGACAGAGCAATTAAATAGCATTTTGAAGACACAGCTGAGAAGCCAGCTAGGAGATGACAATCTTGGGGAAAAAGACTCTGTCTTTTAAGATAGAATACATACCTTAATCCAATGTCATTGTATGGTACTATGCCTATATAATGGTAGAAAACACGAGCCCAGGAAACAAAAGGTATAAGTAGGAGTGACCCCATGCAATAACACTACCAGTGACCTGCTTGAGTAACTTGTGACTCTCCTTCATAGTTTCCAGATGAAAAGTGCCTCCACTGGATGGGGCGCAGTAGGAGTCCCACTAAACCTTATGCTGTAGCCACTAGCTAGCCATTTTAGGATCCTCATGATAACAGGCCAACAAGAGAAGAAAGGATTTAATGTTCTGGTACAAGTAATTGACCCTGAGCATCATGAGGGGGAACATTAGGGGAGGAAGAAGAAATTGGTTTGAATTTAGGTGATCTGTCACAGAATTTTTGTGTCTATTTCTTTTTTTTTTTTTTTCTGACTGAGTTTCACTCTTGTTGCCTAGGCTAGAGTGCAATGATGCGATCTCAGATCACTGAACCTGGGTTAAGCTATTCTCCTGCCTTCCGAGTAGCTGGGATTATAGGCATATGCCACCATGCCTGGCTAATTGTGTATTTTAGGGTTTTGTATATTTATGTGTTTCTCCACGTTGATCAGGCTGGTCTTGAACTCCTGACCTCAGGTGATCCACTCACCTCGGCCTCCCAAAGAGCTGGGATTATAGGCATGAGCCACGACACCCAGCCTCTTGTGTCTATTTCTAACTTCAAATAGGCAAGTACCGCAATAATAGCTTGATGGGGTCCTGGTAACCTTTCAAGAAAGTCTGGGTGAAGCCACTCTGTAAACCACCTAGATAGACAGAAGTACTAAACACCTAATGGGAATCTAGATTTTAAGAGGCGTCCAAAATGGATAGAGAGAATGACTAGCAACAAGGAGCTAAATAACAATTGCAGCGCAAGGGCTGCAACTGAGCACACTCTTCCTCATCTTGTAAGTTTTCCCAGACATTGTGATAATCGGAATTTTGGAAAAGCAGTGCCAGAATGAAATGAATTTAATGTTAGAAACAGAGTTGAATGACAAAAGAGGTAACTTGTTGTGGCTGCTTTTGGTGCTCCACCCAGGTCTACTGTACAGGCTGTTTCTCCTTCCCCAGATGTTTTGAGTCTTGGAGGGTAACAGCTGACAATTATCCCCTTCTCCAGAGAATTGTCTTAACCTAACAGGAATCACCACACGTGTCAGTCTCTATCCTACCTCAGGGGAATTAAGGCAATGAATGATTGCCTTAAGGTGGGACTCTTTGTTGCAATTTTGTCCATAAAGTTATCCTGTGTGATAATACTTGGTGTAATCTCAGGCAGGGACTGCATTACTTAGCTTTTCCCGACTCTTCCTCTTCTACTTCCCTCATTCCCTTTCTCTCAAGGGCACATTCCTGATGAAACACTGGAATCAAAATCCCCATTTCATGCTCTACTTCTAGAGGACTAGACCTAAGACACAATTGACCTACATTGTGTCAGAATACCAGCAATATCAAGATGCCACAGCTGAGGAAGAGGAGTTTGAGGAGTGTGCTGAGGAGGAGGAGGTAGCCTAGAAGCTTCCTTTTCTAGGTAAAGTGGGGAAGCAGTGTAGATTCTTTAGTGTGTTCTGATAACCATTGTCATTACACACTTCTTTGAGTCTTTACATCTCCTCCTGTTGCATTTTAAAGCATTTTCATAGTAAGTAGTTTGACCTAATAAAACATTTCTATAGAAAAAAAAAAAAAAAAAAAACCTACATTGACAATTTTATTTTAATACATAGATATGCCTATAGAATATATTGGCTATGATAACATAATATTTATATTATATATTTTATATAATAATATGTTAAATTATATAATATTTATATTACATTAACATAATATAATTAATATTTATGTAGCATATTTATGTGACATATAATTCTGTTCAATAAATTAACTTTTTCTTTCATATTCATTATATCATTATATGTTTCAATAGAAAAAATAGATCTTAGATGTAGAAATTTCACAATAGGTAGGCAAATAAATGTTCAATAGAAAAGAGTAACCAAAATAGTAACAATCCATCTTAACATACTAATGATGTTGAAGCATTATTGTTATCACTAATTCTAAGCTCTGTTAAATAATCTGTAGAATTAAGATACTGTTACTAATTCTGTGAAGAAATGTATATCTCTAAGTGATGTTACTTATTTTATAGTAAAAAGTAAAATTATTTAGTATTTAGTAAGGTAACCAAAATTTTTCTGTTATGTATTGCCTTAAAACTCACGGATAATGTGACACTACTTATAAGCACAAGTTAACTGTACTTTATAAAAATGTGAACACTTTTCTTATAATTTTAAAAGTTACTGGACTAGTCTGTTTTCACACTGCTAATAAAGACATACCCTAGACTGGGTAATTTATAAAGGAAAGAGGTTTAAATGCCTCACAGTGCCACATGGCTCAGGAGGCCTCACAATCATGGCTGAAGGTGAATGAGGAGGAAAGTTGCATTGCACATGGCAGCAGGGAAGACAGAGTGTGTGCTGGGGAAATTCTCTTTAAAAAAACATCAGATTTTGTGAGACTTATTCATTATCACATGAACAGCATGGGAAAACCCCTCTTCTAAAACTCAGTCACCTCCCACCAGGACCCTCCCATAATATGTGGGGATTATGGGAACTATAATTCAAGATGAGATTTGGATGCGGACACAGCCAAACCATAACTGGCTTAGAGAAATCTTCGTCTGTAAAGTATATAAGTCCTATCTGCCCAAATCATCCCCATCCACACAAAGAAATTGGAAATTGATACAGAAAGTGGTAATAATTTCAATACACACAGTTTACTTGGCTCTGAGTGAATTTTCTTAAGATATGAAGAACATGAGTTCAACATTTTCCTATGTGAACATAATCAAAATTAGGAGAAGTTATTTACATTGACAATTGAAATTCTATCTAAAAATGTGTATAATGATAGAAAGGTATAAAGAATTTATTTTACATTCAAGTTTTATAATTTTGCATCCATTTGTGTCTGAGTCTAAATACACATTTTGAGGGAATTGACATATGTTAATTATTCTTCATACAATTAAAAATCTTAACCATATTAATGAAAAAGGTGCTAACTTCAATCATATTCAAACACTCAAAAAAACTCCCCAAATGTATAAACTGAATAATCAGAAAAGTTATATGAAAAGAGAAACAGATGAACTTTATCTACATAAATTAGCAATATAATATAAAAACATTTAAGATTTTCTCACACAAAAGCACAAATACAAATAGTCTAGAGAAGATAAGGATGGCAGCAGCAGCCCATGCCAGCAGTTTGAGAGGCATGGCTGGGACTGTGTGCTTCATGGAACTATCTCTCTGAGAGAGACAGAGAGAGCAAGAGAGAGACAGAAAAAGAGAGAGAGAGAGAGAGAGAGAGATTTATATATATACATATATAAAATGAAATGGTACCTAAATATACAAAATATTATTAATCCTAATTGAATAAAAATACAAGCACAATTTATTCTCCCAATTTGTATATATTTATCTGTTGTTTCAATATTAATAAAGTGTATATGACCGTTAAAGAGAAATATGTGTTTTCTGCACTGCTAAAAGGAAAGTAATTGAACAATTTTAGAGAGCTATTTTTAAAAAGTCATTAAATTTTAAAATGTGAATATGCTGTAATCAGCAATTTTAGTTCTAGGAACTGCTATAAAGATCTAGGTGCAGAGGGCCATACACAAAATATATAGATTATTTGCAGAAAGATTTATAATAAAAGCAGTGATGTGCTTTCCATTTCTACCCATATAAAATTAATTTTTATCATACACATAAATTGGAATGCATATACCTGCTTTAAAATTGAAGTGAATATTATTCATGTATATCAAAATGTAAGTATTTATATAAGTATGAATTTACAAATACATATTTATATGGGAATATATGTATATACAATATATTTATGGGTATTTGTCTATCCATATAAATAACTTTTCCAAAATATAGCTAAAAAGAAGCTTCAAATTATGACATATTTTATACTTTTTAGTTTGTTAAAATGATAAATCATAATGCTTACCAATTTTACAAGTTGGATACATAATAATTGTACATATTTACAGGGTAAATGTAATATTTTGATATATGTTTACAATGTGTAATGATAAAAGCAGAATATTTAAGAAATTCCTCACATTTATCAATTTTTGTGTTGAGAACATTTTAAATCTTCTCTTCCAGCTTTATTGATCACAATATATTGTTATTAACAACAGTCACCCTACTGTGCTATATAGCACTACAATTTTTTTCTTCTATCAAAATGCGTGTTTGTGCCTCTCCTCATTCCCCTCCTGCCAGTCTCTTTTAACAATCAGCCTACTCTCTACCTCCATGGGATCAACAATTTAGCTCCTTCATATGAGGACATGTGATATTTTTCTTTCCATGCCTGACTTATTTCACTTAATATAAGTTATGAATGGCCTCCAGTTCCATTCATGTTACTGCAAATAACAGAATTTCATTCATCATATATATATATATATATATATATATATATATCTTCTGTGTACATTGATTTTGTGTCTTGCAATTTTGCTGAATTTGTCTACTAGTTCTAGCAATATATTGTTAGAATCTTTAGGACTTTCTATACATATAACATGTCATCAGCCAACAAACACTTTTGTTTTATACTTTCCTATTCAAATATTTTGTATTTATTTATTTATTGCCTAATTGCTGTAGCCAGAATATCCAGTATTCTAGGTAGAGTGGCTTGAGTGGGCATCCTCATCTTGCTTCTCTGGATTCTCATCTTAGAGGAGATGCTTTCAATGTTTCACCATTGAGTATAGTGTTACCTCTGGATTTGTCATTACTTGGCCTTTAGTGGATTGAGGCATGGTCCTACTTCTAATTTGCTCAGAAATTTTACCATAAGATAATGTTACATTTTGTCACATGCTTTTTTGCATCTGTTGAGATGAACATGTGTTTTTCTGTACTTTATTTTCAGGGATTGTAGTTTGATGCAATCCTATTGGTTTAGGCAATGATTTCTGGCTAGGACTCCAAAACCCAGGCAACAAAAGCAAAAACAGACAAATACAATTAACCTAACTAGAATCCTTCTGCATCAAACTAATATCCTTCTATACAAAAAGAGAAGCAATTAAAAGAGTAAAAAGACCATAATTAAAAAAAACATTTTAAAATTCATATGAAACCAAAAAATAGACCAAATAGTGAATACAATCCTAAGCAAAAAGAACAAAGCTGGAGGCATCACACTACCCAACTTCAAACTATAGTACAAGGCTACCATAAAAAAGAAAGCATGGTATTGGTACAAGAACAAACACATAGACCAATGCAACACAATAGAGATCTCAGAAATAAGCCTGTACCCATCACCATCTGATCCTTGATAAACCTGACAAAAACAAGCAATCAGGAAAGGATTCTCTATAAACTAAACCATGCTGGGAGAACTAGCTAGCCATATACAGAAGATTGAAACTGGTCCCTTCCTTATACCTTACATAAAAATTAACTCAAGACGGATTAAAGACTTAAATGTAAAACTCAAAACTATAAAAACCCTAGAAGAAAATCTAGGCAATACCATTCAGGACATAGGCACAGACAAAGATTTCAAGAAAATGCCAAAGGCAATTACAACAAAAGCAAAAATTGAAAAATGAGATTTAATTAAACTAAAGAGCTTCTGCACAGAAAAAGAACCTATCATCAGAGCGAGCAAACAACCTACAGATTGGGAGAATATTTTCTCAATCTACCCATCTGACAAAAGTCTATTATACAGAGTCTACAGGGAACATAAACAACTTTACAAAACAAACAGCCCCATTAAACGTGGGCAAAGGACATGAACAGACACTTATCAAAAGAAGACATATATATGGCCAACAAACATATGAAAAGAAGCTCAACATCACTGTATCATTAGAGAAATGCAAATCAAATCCACAATAAGATATCATCTCATTCCATTCAGAACGATGATTATTAATGACTTACAGATGCTGGTAAGGTGGTGGAGAAAAAGGAACACTTTTACACTGTTGGTGACTGTGTAAATTAGCTCAACCATTGTGGAAGACATTGTGGCAATTCCTCAAAGACCTAGAGGCCAAAATGCCATTTGATACAGCAATCTCATTACTGAGTATACAACTAAAGGAATATGAATCATTCTATTAATAAAGATACAGGCACATGGCCTGTAATCTCAGCACTTTGGGAGGCTGAGGCAGGTGGATCACTTGAGGTCAGGAGTTTGAGACCAACCTGACCAACACGGTGAAACCCTGTCTCTACTAAAAACAAAACAAAACAAAACAAAAAAAATACAAAAAATATCTGGATGTGGTGGTGGATGCCTGTAATCCCAGCTGCTTGGGGGACTGAGGCAAGAGAATTGCTTGAA